AGAGCGCTGCACTTACATCCATGTCCTGATCTTCACATGGCTGTTTCACAGTCAGCAGCTTTAGAAAACTCACGTGTCCAGCGTTGAGCTTGAGGAAGGTGAAGTAGGCCTGGCAGGAGATGCGGTAGAGACCAAAGATACGGTCCACGACCAGTCTCCAAACTCGGATCAGACCGTCTGTAACCTGCTGGCTGGCCTCCCCCAGCCAGGGGCACGAACTGGTGAGCTGCCGCCAAATCACGTCTACCATGTCATCCTCATCATCTTCCTGCTGCAGAGCCATTTCCTCATCCTGACACAAAGCAGAACATCAGGGTTTACACAGGCTGCAGAAAAGGATCCAAGAATACACAAACAATGAAAACACCAAGCGTGCACTGGATACAAGCTGGAACAGAACAAAGCATGTAGAAGAGTCCAGACAGAGGTCAGAAACTGCAAACGTCATCAAAACACAGCAGTACAAGCTGCAACGTGTAAGACATCCCTGTTCCAAGTACATATACCTGTGCATGAGATCAAATCACTACATATGACAGCAGCCAGCTGCAGCAGCTGATGGTACCCCTGACAGACATGTACTGACCAAGCCTGTTACTGAAGTGTACTACGCAACTGCCATCGCCTTTTCACGCAGTGAACAACTGCAGAAACTGACGCAATCGTCTTTTATAAACAGGTAAATGTGTCAAACACCAGTACGGCCATGGTCACAAGTCAGTATTTTAAAAACACAGATGCTGAGGCAGATGAAAGGGAAGCTGACACGTTGGAGACGGAGGCAAAGGTGGAGAGAAACCCGAGCACAGGTCCACACGTCTCCGGCAGCAGCTGGTGTCCTCACAGCGCTACTATGCCCAGTGTACTGTATGTACTATCAGCTGTTCATGACTTTACCTGGATACCAGTAGGTCGACACATGGCCTGGCCCAGAATACTGAAGATCATGTCCTTGTCTTCTTCACTCGTTGTTGCTGGCAGCAGCTCCTCTATCTCCTTCTTTTCCCCAGGAAGAAGAGGCAGTCCCTCCCCTTGGCTGAAGAGGAGATTAAAAGTAATGTTTCCACCAAAGACATTATGCAGACCAGTAGAGCATACACAACAGTCTGTGTGTGTGTCCACTAACCTGGCATTATCAACTACCTTCCTGCCCCAGCGGTAAGCCCAGCTGGCCAGGGCTGCCCAGGACTTTGCCACATCTGGAGCCAGACTGGTGGACAACTGATACAGCTGACCCAACACAAAGTCTGGCTCTCCAACACCCACATTGACTGTACAGGGAAGAACATCAACATCAGACACGTTAGAGGGTTGTGGATATTTCAGTATTCATCTACAGGTACATGGTGTCTCATCATTTTGAGTAATTGATCCTCCTGAGCCTGGGAAGCATGTTTAACTTCTAGTTATCTGGGATCAGCTGGACTGGAGAAAAACTGAGAACTATGTTTGAAAAGAAAGTAACAAAACTATTCAGTGTTTTTTAGTTTGAAGAGTTTAAGTGTTTATCATGAGCAGAAAAGCCAACATGTAGTGCTGACATAGAGGACAGAGTGTCAGGTTAATACAGACGTACACCTGTCAGAAGTTCAGACCGTCTCATTTAATGCTTTTTGTTAAAACAGGAAGTTATTTCAAAGTGCTTCACATGGGAATATTAGAGTTAAGAGGGGGACAATCAACATTACTGCAGCGCAGAGATGTCCTGTGTGGATACATCAGCTTCCACTGGTACCTGAGATCTCAGCAGTGACTGATGGGATGGCCTGATCCTCCAGGGGGAGCTCCAGCAGAGCAGCGATGTTCCTGCTCAGAGCCGACATGCTGCCCACAGCGCTGCACGAGTTCACTGCTGCAGATTTCTTTACCACCTACAAAAACATAAACAGCCTGAAATCAGCATTTTAAATATCACATCTGCTATATTAGACA